TGATTCAACACTTAAAAACATGTCCTCAAAAGCGATTTGCTAAATGTCCAACTTAGAGATTCTAGAATGCAACAAGGTGAGAGATATTCATTAAGATTTAACCATGCTTATCAACATCAATCCCACTTCACAGTCACTCAAACAGTGCATTCAAATCAGCAAATCCCTTTAACATTCATTAAGCAAAAACAGTGAACCAAAAACATGCAAGATCAATCAACTCATTTGGTTTCAAGGGTTTATGGGTCAAGAGACAAAGAGGGTCTCTTTTGTATGGTGGTTTAGTAACAGGGATCTCTCAAGAAAGTGGCTTTGCTTTGGCAGAAGGCTAAGTGTTAGAACCAAAGATGATGCAAGAACAGCAGCTCGAGCCGTCTAATCCTAACTCGATCGAGTTCAACACTTAGAGCTTTTTAGAACAAAATCCTAACTACCCTTTTTGGCATTTCGCCTTTGAAACTGAGGAGCTTTGCTCACTTTTCTTTTAAGAACTTCCTAGGGAGAGGCTTCTTGAGGTAACATCTAGCGGTTTGGGATTTTCTAAACACTTAGGGAACTTTTCTTTCCTTTTTGGACACTTGAGGCTTTGCCTTCTTTTCATTCTACTTAGAACCCTTTTACTTTCTTTTTTAACTTCCCAAACCTTTACTAGACCCTTTTAACACTGCCAACTCCCTGGACTTAACTAAACTCTTTTTCCTTTGGATTTTCCCAATTTTTACCACTTTTCTGGTTTTTACACCCAACTCGATCGAGCTCGAGTTGGCACCCCCAAACTTAGAAAACAATCCCAAGAGAACTAGACAACTAGAACTACTGCCCCTGCCGGTTTAAACACAACACCTTATGCTAAGCAAAGCCAAGAAAGGTTCTCACAATTCGCACAAGAGATAAATGGGGTTTGAAATGAAAAAGGCTTAGGTTTAAGGTGTGGTAACTGTCTCAAAGATAGAGATCAGCTATCTGGACAAGCAAGAGGGATATGAAAGTAGGTAAAGAATGTCCAGATATGTATGTGGTAGCCATGAGTTGAAATCAAATGCAAGCATTGGTAATTAAAGATCAAGTTATGGTTCAAATAGATAGGGAAATGCATCAAATCACAGCAATGGTTGAATGAGATGTGCATGCAGTGATATGATCAAGATAAACATGGTTCTTGCTGCTCAATCAATCTCACCCTAATGCACAAAAGAATCTAAAAACAGGGCACTCAAGAAATCGCAAAAGATGGACAAGTTTTCAAAGTCAAATCAACAATGCAAGTGAAAAATGCAATCCTAAACAAGTCTAAGCAAATATGAATGCAAAAAGATGAAAATATTTTTGGATTTTTTGAAAATTTTATGATTTTTTTGGTTTTTCTATGCAAAAGATAAATGAAAAACTAAGAACAAAGAAAACAAGGTTAAATCATCTCTTGAACCCTCCCCCAAACTTAAATCACACAGTCCCTTGTGTGAGAAAAATTTAGTGAAAGATTCAAGAGGCAAAACCAAGAAAAAACAAGAACAAATGCAAGAAAATATAAAATGGTATACAAGGGTTGGTGTTTGGATACCTCAGTGCCCCCCAAAGAACTGGGAGACTAGGTCGTGGTCTGGAGATGGTAGACGGCCATCAGGAGCACTCCATGCAACTGGGGTTGCCTCTTGCGGCTCACTCGATCGAGCTTGTGGCTCCTCTTCCTCCTCTTCTTCATCTTTGAAATGTGTGTGGCTCCCTTGGCCTTGGAGGAGCTGTGCTTGCTCGAAGCTGTTGTAGGGGGTCCAGTTGGTCTGGGAGAAGTCCTGGTACTGCGTTGGATCGTACTCGAATCCAGGGTTCTCAAACAGGGGCTCCTCCAGGTCAGCTCGACCCTCAGCTCGGTCGAGCTCGCTGATCGAGTTGGAGCATTGAGTCTTGGAACTCTTCCTCCTCCTCTGCGAGTTGTCTTCTCCTTCCCTTGGCTCAAATAATGAGGCTCTGTGAGGTTCGTGGGCAGGAAGCCTTCTTGGAGTAGTGAGGAGAGATTTACTCCTTGGGAATGTGGGAGCCTTAGACTTCTTCTTCTTGCTTGAAGAACCAGCTACCTTCTTCTCCAGACTCTTGATCTTGCTCATCATCTTATCCATGGACTTTTGCATCTTGTCCATGGCCTTCCCTTGCCACTTGTTGAACCTTTGGAGGAGTCCAATCCTCTTGTGAGCAGCCACAACAGAGGGGTTCATCCTTGGAGCCTCATACTCCTCAAAATAGTAGCATTCAGGCTCATTCAACCCAGCATGTTCCTGAACGTTGTCCTCAACTCGGTCTTCAACTTGGTCTTCAGCTTGGTCTTCAGCTTGGTCTTCAGCTCGATCCTCAGCTCGATCGAGTTCAGGCTCCTCTTCTCGCAAATCGCCTCATGCCCAACTAATGCGTACACTGGGGGTCTGAAGTCGATTTTCTCACCCCTGACGACTGTAGTGAGCTCAGGGTTGGGCAGGAGAAGCTTGGAAAGACCAGCCAATGGGTGTGTGAACTTGAATTGGTATTTCCCATCCAATTCCTTGTGCTCAATGAGGAGGTTGGTCTTGCAGAACTTGATGTCCATCCATCCGGCTGGAGTTGCCTTCTTCTTGTTTAACTGTACCCCAGCTGCACAGAGGATGGGTGTGATGATTCCTCCAACACTTAGCCTTCTTCCCTTTTGATGGCGAGTGTTGTAGGCTGTTGTGCTGTAGGAGAGGAGCTGATCTAGCAAAGGTATGAGGTTCCCTGAGTGTGCTCTATCACCTCTGATCCTCGTCCTATCACTTGTGCGTGAGATGATGGGTTTAATCCCCATGGTAAGGAGCTTAACCTCTCCTTCATTGATTGTCCCTGTGGCTTTCCTTGCGAAGAAGGTGTTGGCTAGTGCCTTGTGCACGTACCTCAGCACTGGGCTCCTGATCTGAGCAGCCTTGGACCTTGGAGAAGAGTAACTCCCTTCAGCTATTGTGGCCCAAACTCTTTGGAGCTCATTCTCCTTGATGTCCCAACGATTTCCCTCTCCATAAGTGAACCCAAACAGTATCTCCAACTGCCTAAAGGTCACCATTTTCTTTTCTCCTCTTGCCAAGAATGTGATCCATCCCCAGCCTTGGTCCAAGTCAGCTCGATCGAGCTCGTTGTACTCATGGTATCTCAGCGAAGCCAAAAACTCACAAGTGAACTCCTTGTAAGACTCCAAGCGGTGAGAGAAGAACTTGGCCAGCTGCATGTTCTTGAGCACCAACTCCACATCCTCAAAGATCCCAAGGGCCCTCATTGTAGCATCATGTGGGTACTTGGTCTCAACAAAATCCATGGAGAAGAGAGCATTGTAGTGCTCTTGGTACATAGGGAGCTCATCCTCCTCTTGCTCTGCCTCAGCATCCTCCATCTGCTCATCTTGGTTATCCTCACCATCTTCACTTGGAGAACCATCACTTTCTTCCCCTTGGTTATTGACCCCAATTTCAAACTCTCCTTCTTCACTCGCACTACTTATGGGATCATTCCTCTTCTTGGTCCTCCTTTCTTCCATCAGCCTCTCACTCTCTGACTGCTCCTCTTCATAGACATAACCAGGCGCATCAGAGTCCTCCATCCTCTCGATCATACTATTCACGGCGGCTATCTCACTTGCTTTCTCTTGGTTTGCATTGCTTGTCTCTCCCTCAACCATTTCCCTCTGCGAAGCATGGCTTTCCTCACTGTTTGTCATCTTTGTCACACTGATTTTTCAGTAAAGTACCTGAAATGTATCAAAGATTACCAAGAATTAGAGTTGAAATGGTTGGTTTGGTCAACTCGACACCCGACTCGATCGAGTCAAAAAACTCGAGTGACAAACTCGATCGAGCTAGGCGAAAACAGAGTATGACCGAACCTAATCCAAGTATTAAGAGTTGGAAAAGGATGCTAATCAATCAAATTGAACTAAGAACAACTAGTAAATGGGACAATGAGCAATTCTAATGAAAACAAAAGCACCTTAACCAATACCAAATTCAAATTCAAGGGATTTTAGACACATGCAACAAATTCAAAGGTAAAACAGAGGTGAGGTGAAACAAATTAACAAGACTATGTAGCAGAGGCGAAATATGAAGGCAATTTGAACAAGAACAAGTCCACAAGGGACACATGCAAACCAAATTCAAGAGAAAACAAGAAATAGAGAGGAATCGAGATGAAGGATTTAGAGGTTAGGGTTCATACCTTGCTTGAATGATGATTGAAGAACAGAAGCTAGAACTAAAGCAAAACAAGAGAGCAACAATAGAAATCGCAAAAACTTGATAGAGAAAGCTTGAAATTCAGGTTTCTTGTGGTGATGGGAGAGAGAGAGAGAGATGATTCAGAAAAATATGAGTGGGGGAGAGAGAGAGATGGATTCGATCGAGTTATGGGGAGAGGGTTGTTTGAGATGTGTGGTTGGGATTAAAAGTGAAATAAAGAGGGGACAAGAAGCTAGGGTTTCTCTGATCAAATTAGGGTAGTGGGGGACCAAAATCAACTTGTGGGACCCACTCCCTTGACCAAGGAAAACGGTTAGAAATTTGAATTTCAAAAACTTACCTTGGTCGAGTTGTGGAACTCGATCGAGTTGCCCTTGTTTCTAGCTCGATCGAGCTATCGGTCGAGCTGGCTCCTTGACACCTAAACTTAACTTATTCAAAGGTTAAAAACATAAAGATAGATAGAAATTGCATAAATAGAGTATGTACAAGGATAAACATGGGACTTCCTCCCAAGTGAGCTTGTTTAAGGTCCCATAGCTTGACCTTTACCTTTTAGGCATTGGTTGAGCTAGTCCCACCATCAAGGGTGATAGTGAGGACTTGAGACAGAAGCTCCTTTAGCTTGGTTGGGTCCCTGGACTGTTCTGAAGTCACCAAGGCTTGGCTCTAGAGAATGGCCTTGATCTCCCCTTGTACCTTATCTTGTACTCAATCTTCCCATTTTCAAACTTGGTGGGGAACAAAGTCATTGTGAGCTGAGATGGCTTGACTGAAGGGGCCTGAGCTGGTGGATCCTTTCTTTTATCACCTGGTCTTGCCTTAGAGGCTGCATCCTCCCCTTCTTTTAGAGCCCTTCCTAGTGGCTCATCAAACAAAGCTTGAAGGCTCTCTTCATCAAGCACACAAGGGGCTTGAACAAGTCTATCAGCTCGTGGTCTCTCAGAACGTGGTTTCTCAACTCTAGCCCTCTCAAGACGTGGCTTCTCAATCCTTGGTCCTCTCTCATCCTTATCCTTCCCAACTCTTGGTTCCTTGTCAACCCTTTCCTTCACAACCTTTGTAGCTCCATGACTCTTAGAACTGAGAGTGGTACTGTCAATTGTGGCACAAAAGTCTGAACCTCTAGGCTGCAAGCGATATGACACCAAACTATTCACCTTGTGAAGGATCACTTCTTGCTTGTGAAAGTCTATTGAAGCGCCAACTGTACTAAGGAAAGGGGTTCCCAATAACAGAGGTAAATCCTTCTCTTCTTCCATTTCCATCACAGTGAGATCAGTTTGGATGATGCATTCTCCAATTTTCAAGTGATAGTTCTTGAACACTCCAAGAGGAGACTTAGAAGTTGCATCTCCAAACATGATTGAAGTAGTAGGGCGCTGCAAGGTTCCAGCAATGCCTAGCTTCTCTGCCATGGAGAGAGAGATCAGATTGATGCTTGCTCCAGAATCCACTAAGGCATTGTCAATCTCAAGATGCCCAAGTGTGCAAGGGAGAGTGAATTTCCCTTGATCCTTGACCTTTGGTAGGAAGGTGGGTGAAGTAAGCAGGTTGAACTGATGAGTAGACTCTTGTAGGACCTTGAAACTTTATCACTGTTGGCTAGAACATCCTTGACCATTTGCATTTGATCAAATGCCTCACTCATGCTATCCATAGAGGCAACTCAATTCCAATCCCACTGAGATCTCTTCTGAACTTGTGAATCACTTCCTTGTGACCTTGACTAAGTAGGCGAGATGAGGATAGCATTCATGTATGCTTGATGATTGATCACAATTAGGGTTTTACTTATAATCTCCATCTTTGCTTATACTTAATGCTTGTTGTTAATCTGGCCAATTAGCATATGCCTTTAGGTTGATTTGAGCCTCGACAGTGCTGTATCATTCGCCTGAACTAGTATTTGGTGGGCAATCTCTTTTAGACTGCGACAGTTGATCTACTTGTAGGTTGTGAACAATTGATCTTGATCGAACTAATGCTTGATTTAATCACCTAGGGACATACCAAAAGTTTAGCGACTAGGTAGATTAACAAAGGGGTCGGAGCCTCGACAGTGGAATGATCATACCATAGTGTTTCAAGTTCTAGATTAGCACCTAAGTGCGGTAACCCTAATTGATTGATTTCATGCTTCTTGAATTGCTTATCTCAAGACTATCCTATTGCTTAGCCTTTCTCTCCTATTGATCTCACTTTCTTTATTACTTGCATGCTTTACTTTCTCTGCACTCAACCAACTTATACTTTTGCCCTAGCTTGTTCTCAAACTCATAACTTGTAGTGTGCAATCTGGTCCTTGTGTTCGATACCCGTTTACTACTTCTGACCTGTGCACTTGCAGAATCAGGGATAGGAAAGGGGAAGACCTGATCCCGCGATCAAGTTTTTGGCGCCGTTGCCGGGGACCAATTCGCACCTACAAGCTCTTGCAAGAGAGCTAGTCTAGGGTTTTCACTTTTCCTTTTTGTTTTTGTTATTTTTCCTTTTTCTTTGATTTTGTTTTTCCTTTTTGTTTTTCCTTTTTGTTTTTAGCTTTTCAGGTTTTCCTAGTTAGATATGGAGAAGGAGCCACAAGCCTCTTCCCCTATAAAGGCGATGCCAATTCGCCACATACCACCTCAAAGCACCTCTTGAGCGAACAAGAGATGTCAAGCCCTCAAGCACCACCACCTTCATGGGATAGTCCTCCAAGACCATCCACTTTGAAGACAAAGAAGAAACTTCTTCCTTACCTTGAAGCAGCCGACCTGGAGACGTCTAGCCAAGCCGCATCACACCAGAAGAACACCTTCTAGCCACACCAGAAGAGGAGATTGAACCCTGAGCTGATCGAGTTCGTGAAGAGAGATCAATTCCATGATCTGTTTTCAGAGTATGCGCTGGAGCACATAGATCACTTTGACAATCTTTGTGATTCCTATGGAGTTTTTGACTTTGAGAAGAAGATGATGCTATTCAGCACATCACTAGCTGGACCAGCACTAGATTGGGCGCAGCATGAACCACTCTCTACAATCGAGTCATGGATCGATTTTAGAGAAGCTTTCTTGAAGAGATTTGCAAGGACCACCTTTCAAATCCAAGTACCACCACTACTCTCATCAGCTGGAGAGAGAGCGTGATGAAGAAGAATGGGGAGGCATACCACCCATCCTGAAGTTCTGAATGAAGAGCTAATCAAGCATGTGGAGAGGAATCCTTTCTACAATTCTACTTCAGAATGTGCAAAGGAGCATCTATGCAACTTTGAGCAGCTTTGCCATGACTATGGACTTGGAGACAACCCCAAGAAGATACAACTTTTCCAACTATCACTAGCTGGACAAGCCAAAGACTGGGCTAAGTTCAATGCCCAACATGCTTTCAAGACTTGGAATGGATACAAAGGAGCTTTCCTCACAGATTTGCTAAAGGTCCTATTTATGTCCCACCACCACGCCCAAGCTATTCACAACACCATCCATCATCACCAGACATAAACAAGACACCACTTTTCCCAAGGGAGAGCTATCAAGCTGCGCGCCAAACCAAGATTGAAGAGATGCTTCAAGAGTACTTGAGAAATCAAGAAGAGAGTACAAAGAAGATGGAGAGAAGAATCGATTTCATCCATGAGAGCCTTGGAAACAAATCTGAAGTCCTATTCAAGCAAGTGATCAAGCTTGATGAAGACATTAAGAAGTTAAGAGAGGATCATGATCGATCTTTGACCCTAGTTAAGCTTGATGTTGCTTCCAAATATCAAGAGTTGCTGAACAAGAGCATGAGAATTGAAGATACTAGCTATGGCAATAGCAAACATCTTGGATCAATCTACAACCGCCTACAAGCCCTTGAAGGATCATCTCATGCCAATTACAAGAGAGAGAGGAGTCCAACACCCAACCACCCTCCCTTTTATTGCAATGCCATCACAAGAAGAAGCACTACTCAAGTCCATGAGGACAATGAAGAAGAAGAAAGAGAGTATGAGGAACAATTGAATGATGAAGATGAAGAGCAGAGCATCGACATCAATGCTTCCCCAAAACAGAGCATGGATACACCAAGCCCTAGAGACCCTCGTTTCTCACCAAGAAGTCAAGCTTCTACACTTCCAAGACTGGAAGCAATGCAAAGACCATCACCACCTACTGAAGAAGAAGATACTTGGCAGTATGATCCCATTGATCCCAACAAGATAAGCCCCATGAAGCTTAAAGAGTTCAATGCTAAGGTGAAATCACTTCCATTCTATGTCACTTTTGAAGAAGCTTGGGATAAACATGGTCTAGTGGAGTTCTTTTTCACAACTAGTGAAAACAAAGAAGAGATACACCAACTTTTCAGGAAGGCTCGATTTCCCATTGCCCCTCATGGAGTCAATCAACCACCATCACCACCATCATCACCACCACCCAAGTGGTATGTCAATTCCATATCAAGAGAGAAGCTTGCTGAGTTCAATCCAGTTTGTCCAAACTCTTCCAGCCAGCATGTCTTTCCAAAAGCTTGGCGCCACTACCCATTCACCACCTTCTTCCACAACTGCAAGGAGACACCTGAGGACATAAAGAGCTTTTTGAGAAAGCTAAAGTTCAGCCAACCTTCAAGACCCTCTACAAGATTGAAGACCCAGGTCAATTCTCTATTCCCTGTCAAGTAAATGGTCATTACTTTGATAGAACACTATGCGATTCTGGCTCTTGCATAAACCTCATGCCAACCCAAACCGCCAAACTCCTTGGCATCACACGCTTGCAACCTGCTCAAATTAGTATTGGACTTGCTAACCATACTATAGCCAAGCCAAGAGGAGTTGTTGTTGATGTTCTTCTAGAGATTGGAGATATCAAGATCCCGGTGGACTTTCATGTCATAAACATTCAAGGAGGATGTGACACACCATTGATACTAGGCCGACCCTTTTTGGCCACTGCTGGAGCTGTCATGGACCTTCCAAACCGGCGAATGTCCTTAGCCAATGTTGACAAGACAGTCTTTTACAAGACCATACCATTCATCTCACCAAACAAGCTGTCTTACCTCATCACTGCCCAAGGCCGCCCAAGAGAGCCACCAGACCACACTCAAGGTCACAATGAGACAAGAACTAAAAGACTATGTCTCAGGCCGTGCCCTTACCCCATCTCCAACTAAGAGATCCTATCAGTCAAGCTAATGACTCAAAAGAAGCGCTGCATGGGAGGCAACCCATGAAAGGTGTTTTTCTTTACTTTTCTTTTCAATTAGTTTTAGTTAATGTCTAGTTTTGTTTTGAGATTT